TTAATTCATTTGTAATTACAAATGTAAAGTAAATATAAAATGCTTCATAATTTCATGTGTATACATACGTTTTATTGTTATGAACAGTTACAAAACTCGCACTTCTTCATCAAATTTCCATAATTGTAATTTTTCGAATTTCTAAAGTATTGAATAAGTGTATCAAATGCGTTTTTTAAATGTTTCGCTGGAACCGAGTAACTATTTAGTTTTAAATGAAGCAATCGCAAAGAAAGTTTATTATTCAATGTACTTTACTTACAATTTGGTTTATAATATTCATTTAAGAAATTGTTTTTCTGCGGTATTAACATGCAAACATATTCTTGATCAACTTCACCATACATTAATGAAATGTGGAATTGTGTTAAGGAAATTCAGGGCAACTGAATTTTTTAGGCTGGACGTGTATCTTAACATTACATTTACATAGGATACATACCAGCCACTCTTAGCTTCGTTACTCGTTACTTCGTTACAGGCAACGCCGTAATTTTTATCCTACATTCCTGGAAAGTGAGGCAGGTCGGCAGTCGTACTCGGAAGTAGGACGTCGGCTTTCGACTTGTTGAGATTTCTCTGCACCAAATCTGTGCATTTAGGAGGCGCATGCACCGTGCTCGGCCGCTGCGGTCGGAAGTGCGTGTGCCCACCGCGGGGCGGGGCCAACCGGACCTAGGACCGTCGGGCGAGCTGCCAGCCGCCCCCTCCCCACCCCGGGCCGACCCCACACCGCCCCACGCCGCCCTGCGCCGGCCCACGGTGCCCCACACCGCCCCACGCCGCCCCACGCCGCCCTGCGCCGCCCTGCGCCGCCCCACGCCGCCCCACGCCGCCCCACCTCGCTCCACACCTTCCCTCGCCGCCCCGCGCCGGTCGAGAAGTCACGAGGCTTTCCCGCATTCATTTCTCAGCGCGCGCGGAAGCTCGTATTTACACTTCTCTGAGAGTTGGATAATATACATCTATTTATTTAAAACACTAAGGGTTTTTGTTCAGAAATAAATTTGAGCATTTTTTCTCACCCGAGTTTCGTTGTTGATGCTTTAAATCAAAAGTAGTGGGTATTACTTTGCTGTCCGAGAGACGCCGCGTCCTAGACATAGGTGCCAACGTTTCAGCCGCTATTCCGACCTTTCTCAGCGCGAAGTGCGTGGACGCAGAAGCCTACATTCTTATTTGGCCGTAGATGTGATATCATTGGCTGTTATTAACCCATTATGGAGTAAAAATGCTACAGGTTAATGTATCAGAATTAATGGATCGAACGCCTTCAAAGCCTACTACATTCCGTGTAGTTGTTGTCTTGGTCATTTTGATTTGCGAGTTGCGATTGATCTCTCGAAAGCATTCGGCGTTTCGTAACGAATTTTTTAGATTCAAAGAATAATAAGCATTTTTAAATGCTAAGAGAGTGTTTATAAACGCAATGTCCAGCAGTCATCTGAGTTATAACTTTACAATAAATGTCCAGTAATTATAATTATATATGATGCACTACGTTTTTCAGTTACAGTGGATAGCAGTATTTCCTGGTAAAGCCCACAAAATATATGTACAGATCTTATTAAATATAAATCATTTCAATTACATTTGCAGAAAACATGATTATGCAACTCAATGTTTATTGTGAATAGATGTTATATTGTTCCTGAATTTGTAAATTTCTCAATTCATTAGATTTGAAAAACAACTATTGAACTACATGAAATAATATTTTCGATATTTTTGATTTATCGTACGATTTATGAACGATTTATGACTTTTATATACAGTACTTTTCTGTTGTAAATTTTCTACTGGTCTTTCTTGTAATCTCTCGGGTTCAGCTAATAGCCAATGCTTGCAAGGCGTTTCAACATATGTACAAGTCCACAACTGGAGGTTTGTGGTTCCCAGCATTAGGATCTAGCCCTAATGATGTCAAAGTTTCTGTGCGGTCGCTAATGAAGACTAGTAGTCAGACTGTGAGCCAACTCTTGATGCCGGGTTTCAAATACTGATGGCTCATGGGATTTAAAATCGCGGTGGAAAATTCAATGAGTGCAATGAAAATGAGACCTGAAATATTTTATTAAGCGTTCTTTGCTCCATCCAAAGAAAAAGTGTAAGTAAAACATTTCGGTACTTTTTGAGAATTTTAAAAATAATTTGCCTTTACATTTGACAAAAATAACGCGAAAACTACTTGATATTTCTAAGACATTTTATGTGATCTTCTTTAAACATATAATTTTTAGAACAGGTTTTATTAAGGAAAAGTCTCTATCTGTATTACAGTTTTGCAGTTAATGTTTGCAATTTTAGAAAACAATAGAGTTAGCTGAAAATGGAATTTCCGCTTTTTTTATTTAAATAATATTATTGTATATTCGAGAAAAAGTGAACGAAAAAGTTTGGATTTATTTTTGCGAAAGTATTTTATTTAATTTTTTCTGTATATCACACTTAAATTATGTGAAAACTATTCAAACTTTTGAAAAATGGTACATGAACTTATTTAAATATAGGTCTTTGAAGAACAGATTTTATTAAGGAAAATCCGTATCTTCCGTAATGTAGTTGTAGGAAGATGTCACAAAAATTCGCACGTCTTTGCACTTTTTGAAAATGCAGAGTTGAATGAAAGTAAAACCTGCTCTATTTTTCGCTTTATCAGAGACCCCTACAATAAGACTGTGTTCTTGACGAAATAACCGCAGGAGCATTATAACACGTAAGTTTCAATAAGCAAGTACATAGTAGGCAAGAAAGTAATAATAATATAAATATTTAATCCTTTTCCTTTGAAAACGAAAGTATTTACATACTTTTCCTCAACGAAATATGTGTTTTCATATATCCTATAGTAATCAATTCAGATTGCTTAATATAAACGCAATCAGTGAAATAACAGAGAAGAACTTCGTAAAACGAGAACCTTCATAAAATTTCCTCAGATCGAAACGTTGGTCCGCTGTGTTCTTCACAATTTTGACCACATTTCCTCTTTCGAACGAACAAACTCTAAACATCGTTTACTGCTCTGAAATTTGTAACATAGGCGTCTTTCTAATGGTTAACGCGGAACTTTTGGATGAGGCTTAGCAGTTGAACCGGTTCTCTCGGCCTATGGTTCCCTTCCCAAGAAGACGGGCCTCGGGCACCGTAGCGACAAGGCACTGTGGAACGAGTTCGCGAATCTTGCCTTTATTACTACTTCTCCGTCTGGCCCTGCAGCTCTTACGATTTTTAGCGCGACTTTAACTGTATAAAAGCATGCAAATTCATTTCTGTGTTTCACCTACCTTCCCGTTAGGTTATATTGGCCGTTCCCAGTTGATGATCGTACTCTTAATATTTTATTTCCAAGTGTTTCTATTTGTTTGTGATACCAAATAGTTTGGGTTGCAAATTAAAATTCAAAACACCATTTACTCTGAATTCGAAGACTTACTTTATGTGTCAAAGAACGCTGAGGACAATGTAAGTAGACGAGTGAGCAATTTTAATCAGAAAGTAAAATGGAAGAATGGTAAAAGTGATAAAGCAAGGATCCTTTTTATGAGAAAGGAAAGAAAAAGTAAATCAGGAAAATGGAGAAAGTGAAATTTGAATGAAAAATAAGAAATGGAGTAATTATATGTTGAAGAAAGCACTTAACTCGATTTGGACCCAGAAAAATAGCCCATCCTATTCATATGAGATTAGAGATACTGTCCTCGTAATCGACAATGTTTCGTAACTTCAAATAGCTTGGTTCTCTCCAGAATGGGTTGAGTCATGCAAAAAACAGGTGATTTGTTTGCGCGCTATCGAAGACTACTGGTACGAACGATAGTGGTAGGCATCAGCTTATTGACGACTAACAGTCATGTCGAAACCTTTAAGTGGTTGCATTCGTCAGTTATGTCAGATCTCTTGCTGTACGAAATATTGCTATGTTTTAATTCAAACTATGTAGATTTTAAAAGTTCCTTCCTTTTTCAAATTAAGGCTGAAAGTTACACAACTTACCAGACGGATTCAGTCCAACTGCAGTGTATGAAAAAGAAAGAATTCAAAGCGAGCAATTCACCGACAAGTAACATCCATTCCGCAGTGTTGACCACAATAATTAACATATCTTACAAATTTTGAATTGTTCTAACATACGTTTCAGAAATTCTCAATTTTATTGTGTTAAAATAAATAAAACAAAATAGATAATCTCATATTAGAAATGTTCACCAATACCTAACTGTAAAAATATTTTGAAAATGTTATGGCTGTGACAACTTAATTTATTACTTTATGCTTCACTCCAATAGTTTCTATGTTTACTCACTAGATCAAAATATAGTATATTATAACAAAATATTTTTAAAAGCTTTTTTAAGGTCGCTTATCAACTTCTAAGGTCATATAGCGACTACTGTAGGTAAGATTGGGGGTAATGGGAATGGTATACTGACATGCACAAATATCCACGCCGCTGGCGGGATTCCCGCGATCTTTCAGGCACGAGGTGACAATATTTTTATCGACTTATTTGGAAGTAATATTATGCATGTAACGTTTGCAAATACGATGTTTTTAATAAAATTATCATAAAATAAATGTTGTACAAGTAAATATGGGAGGGGGAGGTTTATGACCCATTTCTTAGCAATCAAACGTCTGAACATCCATTCTGGTGATTCGAATCTTCCTTAATTAAATTGCTTACGGGAGTCGACAAAGTGTCAGTTGACCTTCCAGCTACGTGTGGGGCTTCGTCAATCCAATGAGACTTTTAACTTCCGCACTTCTTATGGGAAGAATGAAGGGAGCAAACAAAGGGTCCGTTGTGACCAACCAGCCACGTATGGGGCTTCATCGTTCCAAAGAGACTTTAAACTTTCGCAATTATTATGAGAAGAACGGAATAGACGAAGTGTCCGTTAACGTGTGTGGCTTCGTCAATCCAACGAGACAGTTTACTTCCGCGCTTCCTGTGGGAAGAACGCAGCCGCGGGGCGGCTCCCCGCCCGGGCACTCACCGCTTGAGGGGGTCCACGAAGAGCGCCACCATGGCAACGGCGATCAGCACGCAGCACAGGTAGATGCCGGAGATCTCGTAGATCTCGGAGTCGGGCGGCCGCTCCAGGTTGTCGTTGCCGTGGTTGTCGCGCATGCAGAAGTTGGCGCCGCAGCCCCGGAGGTGCGCCTCAGACACGCTCGTCGCGTTGGCGTGGCCGCCGCCGCCCCCGCCATGCGCGCCGCTCGACAGCACTGCAACGCGCCACCACACACACGCGCTTATAACATCAGCAGGAGCGACAACAATAAGAGTGATTAAGGATCCTGGAGGTATCAACCTCAAAGTCTAAACTTTGTTTGTTTTAAACTTTATGGTTGATAACTCCTCGATCCTTAATAATTGTGGGTTACCAATATTCTTTGCTGCCACGACGGAACAATAATAGTTATAATAATCATTGTTACATTTTTTAAAGAACTGTTTTAAAAGTGAGAGTAGTTTCATTCCGGAACCCAAATTCACAACCATGCTACGGAATGTGGTAACTCACCAAAAGTGTAAAAGAAAGTCCCAAAAGTTTTCATTTCTTGAATATGGCGCAACAAACACAATTGTCCGAGTACGAGTACACATTGATGCCCCAGGAGCACATTTGCGTATCCGTGGAGATGGTTACTATACCTTCCATCGACGAAGACGATGATAATGCTGTGCCGAGTTCGGATTCGGGAGTATTTTTATTCCCGCTCCAATTCCATCCACTACCGAATTTGGGGTTTTCGATGCTAGTGTCTGAGCAAAGTACTTGATTTTTCTCCGTGGATACATAGCACTTATCAGTATGTATACGTACTTCATTGGAAAGTGTGTGGACTTTTTGAACAATAGAATATGAAAAAAACGTATGCGCATTAATTAAATGCGTCAAAATTACGTAATATGTTTCTTGGACATTTGTGCACACCTCTGAAACCTGAGACTCGTTATTTTTAAAAAAGGAATGTATTTGAAAGAAAAGAACTGAAGCTTCAAAAGTTGAAATAACATAGATATTGTTGTAGATTATATATATATATATATATATATATATATATATATATATATATATGTTGTTTTGTTTAGATGGAAAATTCTCCTAGCTATTACTAGATTCAGAAGGTAGCTTCAGTTCAAAGTACCTTAACCGAAAAGTCGCAAGTCATATTAGAAATGAAATGTTATGTGAATAGAATACTTGTACAATACATAAACCACCAATATCTGTGCTATATCTCCTTTTAACATTAAGCATGTTCAATACGTTTTTGTTTATTAGTTATAAAGGAGTGAATGTGTTAATTTTTTGTCAGAATAGAAAGTCATTTTGGTTTGAATTGTGTATCAAAAAATCTAAATTCGTCAATTTCAGTATAATTCAGTATAAAACAAAAAATCTAGTTTTAAATCATTAAAAAAAAAGAATATGTTCCCAAATACGTCTTTCCTGTTTGCAACAACAACAATTTGTAATTAACACTCATTACGTTGAAATGTTAAATGCATCTTTTACCTATAGTTATCAACAAAAACTTCCCAAATAAAAAAGTGAATCTTATAATGGTTTGTTATTTCCTCGCCGACTCTCTTCCATCAATGCTTTTTCATTCACACGGTTCTCCGTAATCTAAGATGCGCTCGAGATAGTAGGCAACACGCAACACTTCCCCGTATTGTGGGTCCGCCTGCGAAGAGAACGGGCGTGCCTGCCCACGCAGTGAGGCTCAGGACAGATGCGGTTGAAGCTGGATTGAGCTGGATCGCAGCGAGAGAGGACAGGGTGGGGACGTACGGGGACGGATAACAGGGTGGCCTCTAGACCTTGAAATAAGTTTTGTTCTTCCGTATCGCGTGAGGTAATGTTCCTTCTTCTCACAAGCTCACGTAAATAGAAGGAAATATTTGGATGGCTCCAGTCCTGAGACGGGCTTTTGCAGTCGTAATTAAAATTGTTAGAACGTAAAAATAATTCTGATTATGAATGACCTTATTCGTGTGTCTGGGCATTTATTTTAAAATTTGAAGATTGCGATTCCAGAAAAGTTGCAAGTTGTCCGATTTTTTATCCATGCCGTTCAGAAGAATACATTTGTTGAGTTAGCTAGTACCTTTATCAGTGGAATACGGTATCTCATGATGCTAGTTGTGGTTTGTAGTAGTGCATTCAATGATTTACGAAATGTAGTTTTTTCGACGTGCGTAACTTTTTCTGATTTTAAATTATCATATTAAAGGTCTGAATGCTAGTATTATTGAGCTCATGTATTCTACATTTGTGAAACACTTGTTCATATTTTATCGAGTCTGCAGTATCTTAAACTGGTTGACTTTGAAGCACGTAGGTGGAGACCTTCTAGAAACGATATGGACTCGGAGATTGGCATGTTCCGTTACATTAAGTTCTTTGAAGCAATTCGCTTTCAAGTGTCTTAAGCGACACGAATGTTCGCTTCAAAAGTAAATGTGACTTTCCCTTTTTTCTCTTCGTGCTGCTGCATTTGTACCTGGACCAACATCAGCCATAAAGTACCATTCACCTCATGTGGACTAAAAAACGCTGCAAACTTCCGTTTGCAACATCATTTTTGTAGGGCTGATGTCACCACTAGGGTATGACTGTCCTGGTGTTCATATTGATCAGTGAATCTTTGAATTACCTTGACCGATTCTGTTTGTGACTAGGCTTATTCAAAGTCTCTGAATAAATGTTACAAACTTGGAAAGCATGTAAGAGGTCCAAGACATGCCATTTTTGTGGCAAATGATCATGTATATGTATTGTTCTTGTTTATATTTGGCGTTTTGGATCGATAGTCCGACTTTGCCAGCCAGAAAACGGTATACCACACGCTTGAGCTCAGTTAAATTCCCATGCTTGGTAGTAAGAGTGGCATGTGGCAAATATGATGTATTTCCTTCGCCACAACGAGCAAGATCCGCCTGTCCGACATTTTGTTTGTTACACAGCTATAGAAACTGGGACGATTGTAAAGAAAAGCTACAACTATTTTTGCCTCGTCTGGAAATGGAACCGGGACCACACCACGGGACGTTAATGCGCTGCCACTAGGAGCCACCCTAGAGACATGCAAATGAACGTGCGGTGGGAAAATTCTTATAATGAAGTTAAAAATGCCATTTCTCCCTGAGTGGTAGGCAACCCATCATACTTTGGTGTTTGGAGGTTATATGAAATATCTTCGACAGTCACGTGACCTTTTCACATTCATGATGGGTTGTATATTAATTAGGAACAATTGTCACATGTGTAATTTCGTTAAATGAAATTTTTCAACATATGTTCATTGGCAAGAAGTGATCTCTCCCCTCTACATACCCTATACATTTGTAACATTGTCCCTGAGATCCTTGTAGAAGTTCAGAAACCAATTAACATGTATCACTTTTCACAATAGACCTAGTTGAAAAATGAATATTAAATTGTCTGCCTATATAGTGTTTGAAATCTAAAAAAATGGTAAATGCATTTGACACAGCTTTAAGAAGAATAAATAAAAAAAATAGAATTTAAGATAAAGTAACTTTTGTAATATGTAAACTAATACCTTCTCATCATCGTATTATTATTTCTAAAGTATAAGTTGATTTCCACTGACATACTGTTAATGCGACAGATAAGATCTGATCGACAGACATTCTAGTTTGAAAACGAAGTTTTCTGAACTATGTTTACTCGCTCTTCCGCAATAACTCAAAGTTTTTGAACGTACAAGTTTAACACCAAAAAGAGCCACTAAACCACTCACAACAACTTTATGACTCCCGCGAGACCTGCGTTACTAAAAGGAACCACGAAACATACGAAACAAGCTCGTCCTACATAACAGACGAGAGATGACATAAAAGGGAGCGTATCCATAAAGCATAGAACATCTTTCTGAAGGAATCGAGCGGGCGGTGTGTTTCTTAAGCAGCACTCTAGGCTAGCGCATGCCCGTCGCTCTGACAGCGCCGAGGTGCTGTCGCCGGGCGTTCGAGTGGGCGGCGGGGCAGGGCGCGCGCGCACTCACCGAGCGAAGAGATGAGGTTGCCCCACAGCTCGGCCGTCTGCCAGGCCAGGAAGAAGAAGCCGAAGAAGCGCACCACGATGGCGTCCACCGCTTGGTCCGTCAGCTTGGCGTACACGCCTCCCACCTGCAACGCACAAGCGCGCTCAGTTCGCCGCCCAGGGCACAGCCACTCTTTACTCGCTCCTTCGTGTATCAAGTTTATACCTGACGTTCGGCAGATGAACGCAATGTAACTACTGACCTCTGCAACTCGGCAATATTTGAAACAAATTACTTTAGCAATTTATGATTGGCTGAGGTTTGTTTACAAATATTTGTTTGAAAATGAAATCCATTCTTCTGTTTTTATGCCCGTTGTATTTGAGATTCAGAATTCTTTCTATTTTTGTAATCCAAAATATTTCAGTGACTTTTCACATTCCATTATTGAAATATAAATATTAAGAACTACTGAATTATAGCGATTATTTTTAATTATTATTATTATTATTATTATTATTATTATTATTATTACTATTGTTATATTATTATTATTATTAAATTAATTAATCACGTGGATTATTTTATTGTTATTAATATATGATAATGAAATATACGGACAGTTATAGTCTATTTTCTCGAGATATCATACCCAAAATATCTCGATAAACGAGGAGGTTATAGCACAATTAACTTTGACATTGCAACCTTGTTTTTATCAAGAGTTCCCTGAAAAGGTAAAGATGCAAGGAATACATCAAAACAAGTGATTGCCAAAATTCAACCAGAGGAAACATTTTAGTTCACCCAATCGTCAAAACAAAGAAGTTGCAAGACGCTTCGTACGTCATAGGAGGATAAATTAACCTCGCGAGGAGGAAAACGGCCGTGCATTGTCGCGAGCGGCGAGCCGGCATTCACCAGCGGGGCCCGCCCCCCGCCCCGACCGGGGCTGAAGGGGCTGGTGGAGCGCGGGAGGAGCGGGCGCGCGGGCCGCTATGCTAATGGGCCGCCGGAGGGAAAGGCGGCGGCCTCGGCGCGGCGGCGCGCGCGCCTCTGGGAACCGCAGGAGGAAGACGGCGCAACCGCGCCCCACGCCGTCAGCATCGAGGCGGGGAGGAGCGGGGCCGAGCGGGGCCGAGGCAGCGGTGGGACGGGAGCGAGCGGGGAGGAGCGAGGCGGAATGGTGCGAAACGTGGCTGCGTGGCTGAAGCGACGGGGCGGGAAGGGGAAGAGGGGTGGTGACGTCTGCGAGAGTGGAGCGGGGCCGGGACAGGGAGGCGGGACAGAGTGGAGCGGGGCGGAGTAAGGGTGATGCTGGGCCGGGGCCACGAACGGAGCGCTGGCGTGATCGGGCCCTTGGGCGGCGGCGGATTAGTATGCGTGGGAGTGGAGCGGGGCGGGGACAGACAGGGCGGGCGGACCGGGGGGCGCGGGCCGATGGGGTAGTGGGCTGGGCGCGGCGGGTCCGGACCGGGGAATGAGCCTTGATGGCGGCGTCAGCGGGCGGAGGGAGTGGATCCGGGCGGGGACGACCAAGGTGGGCGGGAAGGCTGCGGGGAGAGGTGGAGGGAGTTGGAAGGTGTGAGGTCGAGGACGGTCGCGACCGAGGAACGCGGTGTCCGCATCGCTTACACATGCGTCACAACCGATGCGTTTAACAGTGGTGGCAATACAACTTTAGGATATGTTTTTCTACGAACGTTTTAAAAATGAATGAAACTAATTGGTTAGGGAAAAAGTTATACTGTGGTTGTTTATCTTTTTTTAATAAAGGTTACTACAAGTTTAGGTAAATTGCTAATATCTGTTTCTTTTTTATTCACATCAATTGTGATTATATCCTCTTTTATTCGTAGAGTGAATTATTTCGAGGCAAAACGTTTGCCCAAGAAAATATGATAATTTAATTGAAATTGAAAATTTACGGATATACGTAAACGAGGAAAATATAGTGTTAAATGGTCATTCCAGAAATAAAATATTTTCCTTCTTAGGAAACAAAAGATTACTTGTGTTAACAACCGACAAAATGCAGAATGTCTGATTGTGCCAAAGATTTCATAGTAAGAGAATATAAGTAAGCGTCACAGGGTTAATTTATGAATACAAGTATGGTAATGAGAATTTCCTCTTTTATTTTTCAGTTTGCAGAAAATTATTTTAGTTTACATATTAATACAAACGTGATTTATTTATTTATAGGAAAATGTAATACACGTTTTAGCTCTTACGATAGTATTTAGTTGCTTTAGTTGCTTGGGCCCCTTCTCGGACTATTAGTTACGCTGTTGGCCACGGCGCTCCGTTCAGCGCGTCCGTGACCTTGGAAGCGATTGCACAAATATGCAGATAGCTGAATCAGCTGAGCGTGCCGGAGCAACAAATTTATGAATGAATGCATATGATGACGCTGAACACAGGTTCGGAGACGATGCCCTCATACGAGCAGTCTTTTGTGAACGTGTATAGACGAAGGCTTCCGTGGTGGGAGTCCATGTTAGTTTGGCCGGGGAAACGCCTCACCGCCGAAGCGCTATTGAGTTCGCGCCTTGAGACCGCATGTGCAGATCGCCCTGATGAAGGACGCATATGCCGGTTTGATCGCTGGCAACATTCCCTACAGTGTCACTCAGACAGGAACGACCTAAGCGACTTACTTTATACATATACGTCTTAGCTTTGCAAAACTACTAATGTTCTGTGGACTTTAAGATATAATATAGGACATGCGTTCATTGTAAAAATTATGGAAACATGTATTTTCTTTTAAAATATATTCTAATTTAAAGTAGTATACCTTTTTAGAAATCATTTGTAATTGCAGCTTGGTAAATTTTATATCAGTTTCGATTTGCAGTAAAATATTATCAACTTCAAACTAGACAAACAAAGCAATTGCTAAAATTTTCATAGTATTACCAAATGAATACGGAAGACTAATTTTAATACTAAGAATGTAGTATGAAAGTTTTAATCCTATGGAATATATTTGAATTGCTGTATATTAATTTTTAAACTGATGGGAAAACTTTAACCCACTAGTACCTAGAGCAGGGAAAGAGTAATATAGTAAGAGGCCGTAAGCGGCAAGAAGCCGTTACACAAAGAATTTGGCAACGATGAGACCGTTCACAGTTGGAACTGCCTACAGCCGGTTGAGACGGAAGGTCACACGGGCGTATTCTAATTGAGAAGGTCATTCAATACAAACAACCACGGGTCGGTTCCCGATTGCCTCTGAAAATTACTCGCCTTAAAAATTATCCGTCCATGGGTGTTCCGGGTGTAGTGGTGAGTTTTGAACGAAAAATGAGCCTACAAAAAGACCATGAAATTAATGCCTCAATATTATTTTGTGCTTTCCTAATTATTTACAGGAAGAAATTTGTTTTGATTCAAATATGATTATAATGATGATAGAAATCAGTACACATTTCTCTGAGTAAACATAGAGTTTTTTTTTAAATTGCCAGTTCGTAGCCTACACTATGGCCTTCTTAATGCACGAAAAGCCCTTCCTCATTTCGTGTTGGCAAACGAACGCACGACGCGTTGTCCCCCGAGAGGCTGAGAGCAATCAACGAAGCGAGCACTCTCCGTAAAAGGCCGTTCCGGAAGCGCACTACGCCCGTGGGAGGCAACGGGCCCCTTCGACGCAGCCTCATCGAGATCGATCTGCCCTTGGCCGATTCTTTGGCGCCAACTTTTACTTTGGCCGCGAGAGGTATACATTTTGTGAAGCATTCGTGAGAAGTTTCATTTCTTTCGCGTTCAATATTTCATTGGTATTTTACTAATAGAAATAGAGATAGGAACTCAATAGCTGCACAAAAATATATGTGCATCTTTCATATTTGCATTGCATTTTTATTTACGAAAAATATAGTAATAAATAATTAATGAACATCTTGCTTGGTGGCTGTACTACTCCTTGTCGTACTTGCTAGAGAATCATTTGTTTTCTCCCTAATCTCCTTCAGGAAGAGATATATTATTTACATATAATTATGTACATTGTTTATATTAAAAATATTTATAATTATTTATCCAGAAAATTGAATAAATAATAACAACTATAAACTAACATAATTAAAAATGACGTTGAGAATCGCTTTTAAGAGTGGTACACAAACGTTAATCTCAATAGATCTTTCATATTAGAGGACGTTGTTTACAAAGAAGAAAGATGACATAGTTTGTGATATTTTTAATTCATAACATATTATAATCTCAAAAAAGCTGTGTACGTATAATGAAAAATTGCTGAATGAATCAATTTAAATTTTTGAGAACTCTGAGCTATCAACCTATGTAGCAAATAAATGTACGTCATAAATAACACTGCAATACCAAGCTTCATTCCTTTATAAATTTTTGACCTGCCAATACCACTGCCAAAACAGGCAGAAATATTCCGTACTCTCCTAACCACCCTTAAGTATCTTAAGTAAAATTACCTCTCCGAAACGATACTTATGAGAAACACAAGGACACATTTAAATTTCCGCGAAAACATGTATCTTCCATCAGAATTAATTAACTTTATCGACTGATGGGTAAGATATATGAAAGTTCATGTTCATGTAAATATATTTTCTGTAAACAAAGAAAGCCCTCAGTATTAATAATTGAAATGCCTACATTAGTCAAAATTGGCTGGTGGTATTACGTTCAACCTAACTCCAGCCAGCAACCTCCATCTCCTTGTACTAAGTTTCAATCAAAGCAGTGCGCTCAGCACGCGGGTTATGCGCTTGAGCGAGCGAGCGCTCTCGCGGCCTCGGCCCGTGCGCACACACAAAGCGCAGCCCTCGTCTAAGGCGTCTGCACCGGCGTCCAGTCGAATCAATCGTCGCCAGCCCGCGACCTTGCCCCGCGCGAGCACACAAAGCCGAGCGCCCGGCATAGTTAACCCCAGCCACCCCCGCGGCCTCGCCCGGCCAGCGCATGCGCCTCACCTGCGTGAGGTAGGTGGCCTTGGAGGCCCACATGGGCGCGGCGCCCAGGCCGAGCAGCACGCCGGCCGGCACCAGCGTGTAGAAGCGCGGGAAGAACTGCGCGCCGATGTACGGCGCGTAGCACATCATGGACAGGCACAGCGTCCACTTGACGGTGAGCCGCTTGATGAGGAACGTGGGCACGAACATGCACGACAGCACCAGCGCCGCGTAGATGGCCGATAGCGACACGGTGCCCAGGCCGTCCTTGGCGTTGATCGAGCTCTGCAGGTTGGCCGTGCCCTACGGAGTGCAAGAGGAAACACGTTAGCGTCGTGTGCGAAGGTACCGCACTGCCTTTCTTTTTTCGTCGAAAATGTCGCAATGGCGCAGCCTTAGGTGTTTAAGTACCGGATTTAAAATACGTGTTGCTCCTTGTGAAATTTGACAAAGAGCATCGGCAAGATTTCTTCGGGGTTTCTTCCAGTTCATTAATCCATAAATGGGGGGAGTCAGGAATAAAGAAAACGCGAGGCAGGTAATAAAATTACCCATTTGTTTACACGCTTTGCAGAGAACATCTTTCCCATTGTATACATGTGTTTCTCGCAATTAAACCGTGGAACAACGCCTTGTTTGTTTAAGGTATCTGTATGAATAGAAATGCATCACTGAGATATTATTGGGGTCACATAGGCAATAAAGATGATGCTGACATTGGAAACCGTACACCCTGTAAGTTATAGTCACTATTTTGTCTTCCACGAATAGTGGATATGATCGTGGCCAAGCAAGTGAAAGCGGTTCATGGAAATAAAGAAAAAGTTGGCAATGACATCAATAGTCTTTCTCCCGCTTGTGTGCGACTGTCTACACTTAGGAATTGATAGAGATCGACTAGAATACAAATGGAAATTAAATCTCATTAATCTGACCGCTTATAACTCGAAGATGAATCAACTTTCAGTGTACATTTTTATGGTGCTTTTTCCATAAATAATACAGTGAATGTATGCCGCTTACACTGGTTAGCACGTAATTACTAATCGAAACATTAAAACAGTTGCCAATCTTAATTTTACGACTCTCACATGTGTATGTCACTCTGTCCCATGCACACATATTTACAATAAATTAAGCAAAAACAACACATTTGATTAATTACATCCTTCTTCCCGATAGTGTTGCTGTAAACCCAAGATCGATACGCAAAAAAAAGTGCTTCAAATTTCATTGTAACGATATGGCCAGGATTTGATTTCCTGCTTGGATTTTGCAGTTTAATAAGGGTCTTAAGAGTTGGGGCTGATTGTCTGTAATGAAGACCATTTAATATTGGAAATAATATGTTGTGTACGATGTTAATTACTTAAGAAGTGAATAATTTTTGCTAAAGTGGAAAAGGAAAAAATAAAGTGAACCGTAGTGTGTAGATATTAATAAGTTCACATTCCATGTACGTAATGATTTATTCATTTCAGACTGTGAAGTTAAATTGTAGAAAAAGACGGAAAATCCCTAAAAAAATAAATAGAGTAGTAAATTATGTTAAGTTAAATATTATTTGCAAACTTTTTTTAAAATTCCATTACTTGAAATGAAAGGTTGTATTTTATAAGTTTTAAATGGCTCATGAATCATAATTGAAGGAAATTTGCTGTGGATTGGGAATTCACCATTAATAACAATAACCAAAGGCGCCGAACATCCTTGACCAACAGGATATTGCCCGACGAGGTCGACAAAATGACCTCAGGTGGCGGGGGCTATGATTCCATATACAGACTACCGAAAGGCAAGAACGTCGCAGTTGAAATAATTCTGTACGTGATTTTTGATATATGTTTCAACTTTCAATTCCAAACAGATTTTGTCGTTATAACTGAAAGTGGAATTGTAATATACAATCATGTTTAAAGGATTTACCGAATTTTTTTCGGTGGAGCAAATTTGAAGTTTGAAGAATTAAACACATGTTGCTTGTTTAGATCTTGCTGGAAATTCACCGAAGCAGATTTATTGTTGTTTAATTGTGTCATTGTAATTTCAAAGCGGTCATTTCGAGATCACCGTTATCATAAAAGTCGCTTGAATATGTTCTAACTGTACACCTGGACCAAAACTGACCTTGCAAAAAAATGAATCAGAGAGATAATACGCTACTATTCTGCAGAGACTGCCTGGAATACTACGTATGTACCTAGTGATATGTGAACTCATAGTCGCCCTTCTATTTTTGGACGGGATATTTGTTCCTACATTAATGTTTATAGTGTTATTGGTGTAAAATGAGCGTGAGTGATTGTAAAGTGGAGATTTTTTGGACATGTTTCTTCTTCTTCTTCTTCTTCTTCTTCTTCTTCTTCTTCTTCGATTTCAGCTAAATTTTTGGCCTTGTGTCAAATCATTCCTCTGCGTGATTGTGATAGTGTGAAATAGGTCATTTTGAGAATGTTAATGAATATTGTAGAAGGGGAAGCAATGCAATTCAGTCATTTAGGAGGAAGTTAATTAACATTCTAGAGAGGGAAGCAGTTTCTTTAGTCACCACTTCAATTAAAACTAAGGTTGTAAACCGAAGAAGAGATTTATTGGTAATGAAATTATTATGAAAGATTAATGGACAAGGACAAATTTCCGTAATTAAGGTGAAATGTCAATCTGAGGAGGAAAAGTTTCTGTCTTCTATTTTTATCCTTGAAAGAATACACACATATATATTAAGTGTGAGATTTATTTCGTGGTTTAGCTTGTAGTTTAGTATTCGCTCATGTATCATATGAATGAGGGTGGTCTGAACCTTCTTTAGACTCAAACCTACTACCCTAAGAAATGATAATAGTAGAACATTATCTGGGTTCGAGGGTTCAAAAGTACCAAAGAGCAACATTATAAAAGGTATATAGTGCCGATTCGGGACATCTATTGGTTTTTGGAATGCCCCAAGTCATGGAATGCACAATACCCCCAGTGTCATAGAACCCTATCCAGCCCCAGTGTGCGACTTTTGAATGAGGTTGGACTGAACCTACGTTAGACTCAAACATACTTCTCTAAGAAATAAACTAGTTTCGCCTTTTGGACCTATACGACTTCTACCACCTGGATCAGATTTGTTTGCTGTTTTAATAAATGATAATCAAGGGTACAAAAGTACGAGTATCAAACAGGGACATTATGAAAGTTTTGCAGACCCAATCAGGACATTTATTACCTTTTGAAATGCACTAAAAAGTCAAAGAACCCCATCCAATCCGAGTGTGGGACTTTTGAATGAGGTTGGACTGAACCTACGTTAGACTCACACCTACCACTCTAAGAAATAAACCAGTTTGGACTCTTGAACCTATACGACTTGGACTACCACCTGGATCAGCTTTGTTTGCCGTTTAAAAAATGTGATAATAATAGTATTGAAAAGTATTAAAGAGGGACATTATGAAAGTTTCGTAGTGCCCAATCGGTCCATTTTGAAATGCCCCAAAGCATCAAACCCAACGCGTAGCGCGCGGGAGCCGGGAGGCGTGGGCGGGAGGCGTGGAGGCGTGGAAGAGGCTCACCTGGAAGGCCGTGAACTGCACCATGAAGGCGAGGCTGACGGCGGCGATGTTCTTGAGGATGCGCCACTTCTCCTTGCGCGACAGCCGGCACTTGCCGTCGTCGGGCTCCCCGGCCTCCGCGCCCTTGTCGGACGCCGGCTTCATCGGGGGCTTGGCGGGGGCGGCGTCGCCGTCGTCCTTGAACGCCTCGTTGGCCACGCCCCCGTGCACCGACACCGTGTACACAGGCGCGTCGCCCTCCGGCGCCTTCTTCGCCGACGACTTCTTGGACGGCGAGTCGCCGTCGCCCACGTGGCCCGCCACCATGGCGACGATGCGGCTCCTGCGCAACACAAAGCACGCCAAGTCGAGTTAGCTACGCACGATAACACATTTCGTATTGCAAACAGTTATGCACAAATTCAAAGAAGAAGGTCGCACTCTATCATTTTCTCGTTGTTGCATTGCCCCTCTGATGACAAGGGGTTTTGCACTCAACAACCATACGTCCGTGGCGGTTCGTGCTCTCGAGGTTGGTTCACAACACAATGATGTCGAGTCAATGGCCGTATGATGCCCGTTTTTTTGTTTTTTTTTTGGCGGAGGTGTCTGGGTAGCCCTCATCTCTTTTTAATAATTATTATTAATAATAATATTATTATTAATATTATTATTAGTTTGCAAACCATCCAGTTTGAGGCCACGAGCCGCCACTGCCATTCATAGATTGATTCGTATATAGATAGAAGTATAGAAAATCAGTTCTCGTATGTAGTAAACCAAGCCTAATCGTATGACCTTTCAGTGTGGCAACACCGTGGGTACTGTGTATTCAACGACATAAAGCCTCATTAAACATCACCACGCGTGTACTAACAATAATTTTTTGAATGTACTTTCTTCGAATGTGAAATATGGGGCGGCACACAATTGTTTACATTATTAATCGCGTAATATGTCTGGTACGCTACAAAGGTAATTAAATCGCATAGTAAAATCATTAAGATAGACAATTTCATTGCTTTCAGGTACATAATATGCTTTAATTGTGTCATGTGTACCACCAATAACATCACATCAATACAATATGAAAACAAAAGGCAATAACATACTCGTAAATTTACTTTCTGCGTAAAATAGCATTATATTTTATCCATTCAAATGAATACTAATTCTCAAACGAAGGACTCCTCCGAAGTAAATATTATGAAATAAAAGGAAATATGTAACATATAATGTATGTTTTATAAAATAGATTCAACAGTTTCGTCTTTGATTAATTATCATGTATCGCACACTTATAGGACTTACACCAAGGAATTATTCTCAACATGGCTGAATTAAATTACTTTATACATATATATATATATATATATATATATATATATATATATATATATAATTGTGTGTGTGTGTGTGTGTGATGGAAAAGTATCATAATCTATAATTATTGCATCTAAGGAATTATTTTTAGACAGTCGTTCCAGCGCATTTCCATTGACGTACTGCCTCAAACCTTCATTCCAAACAACATTCCATTTGTGCTCATTAGTGAAAATGTCAGCTGAACATGCTTAAAGTAACTAACGTTTTCTTAGTGGAACATTCTCAGTATTCCACGGAGAGTAGATGAAGACATCCAAGTAGTTGCAAGCAGAGTCATACCTCAGTGTCTTCACCTGCAGGCAACATGCAATAGTCATTACTAGCCCGCATGCATTATCGCGCCTGACGCAACTCGAGAGCATCGCTTCTCACACGTTCCCCGCTATTCTGTCGAAATGCCTCCTTGAACAAATCGCTTCAGCATAAGCGCAGAGAAACTTTTCTTGTGCTTTGCCAGTGAACATTCTAGTTCTCTGACTCGAGAAGGAAACTTTTGTAAGGGGGCTACTATTTTCAGAAGCTGGATCACACTTCGATTTTCTGTTAAATCTGTTCAAACATTTGGTATCCTTCTAATTATAGGCAAACACTCTCTTGGTAATTGATATTGTATGGAATTTTAGGGACGATCAGTTAAAACCAAAGAAGGAACATACATAAATGAGGAAGGAGGAATGTTTAAGAATATACAAAGAAAACGCATACGCTTAGTAAAAATAATACATATAATCTTGACAAAGGGAGTGGATTGACTCTTGATTGCGTAAAAGGAGTGGAGTGGAATCTTGACAAAAGGAGAGACTATTTTCTTTTTTTTTCTTTTGTAGTTCTCTCCCCAACATTCCTTCATAACTAATTGCAAGTATTTACAATGTTCATATTAATTTTTATTTAATCATAAGATTTATTTGGACGTGTGAAATGTAACTTCAATACCATATGCATGCTTGTTGAAGACAAAGACTTATCAACTTGACTCAAAGTTTTCAAAAATATCATTAATTAATTATCTTGATAATTTCACCTTTTTTATTTGAAAGCAAGTAATGTAGAAAACATTGCTTGGAACAAAATTTATTTCGTTATATCTCTTTTATATAATTGCTAGAAATAGTATCAGAAGTCAAACCTTTCTAGAAATAAGTTCGAAGTATAAATAGATACGAGATTACATTGTTTCTTCAAATGTGAGGGAAACTTCCGTGTCTCTCGTTCGTGGCTGTTTCATGTTCTCATGTTGAACTGAGACAGCACAACAGGCAAAAAAATGAAATATGGAAAGGAAATATTAATTATATTTTTGTTGCATGTGAGCGTTCATCTGTGAGAAACAATTTTCGAAATATTTTACGGATATGAATATAAATTACATTAGAGATGTGATATAAAAGGCTCTTCTCGTGTAAGTGGCAATGTTTGAAGCAAAACCCTGTGTATTCTGCGCAAGGACTGTGCACACGGCCAATTTTGTTACGAAACAGAGATCACAAAGCATTACGCAATCACTGGTTCCCATAGTTTCACAGTGCCTGTCTCAGTGTGATGTTTTCCTTTCAGGCTATTCTCTCTTGTATGTTGGCGGCGGCTGTTCCCGTACCTTACTGCATTTCGTAGTGACTCGGCCTACCTTTCCTTTCGCGCGAAAGAACGTTTTTTGTTTTGTTTTTTTCACAAAGAAGTACATTTATTTTCCTATAGTTATTTTAATACATTAGTACATTTTTATTATTGGCAAACTAATATAATAAATATTGCTACAATGATAATACGATAACGATACGATCGATGTAACAGTAAATCACAGTAAGTTATATCATGAATTATTCTATTCATTTTAATATGTGGATGGCAAGGTATTATTCTTGCGACTTACGTTCATTATAATTAAAATTTTGTCTATAGCAAAGTTTTGTATCATTAAACGTTATTCATAAGATTTATTGATACCACGAAAAATTCCTTTTTTGATTCCTCATGAACTGTGAGGAACCAAAATTTAATTATTTTTCTGAGGTACTTGCTTTCTTCTCCTGCACTAGAGAGATGTGACAGTCGCAAGTTAGAAACTTCCGTGCTGTGAGATACATTAGAATACGTTAATCCTCGCCTCTCTCAAAGTCGGAGGATTCGTCCCTTGTATGTTCAAGAACCAAGAACTATTCCTTATGACATCCTTATGACATATGAAACGTCCTTATGACATATGGCATTAAGTGATTCGGTTTTGTAAATACAATTAATTTTAAGTCGTATTCTACCTATAATTCATTTTCATTACAAATAGAATTTGGGAATTATAAAACAAAATTTTAAGTGAAACTGCAGAAAATTCAACTTCATCGGCGTATTTTTAATTCATTAATGTATTTTTTAAATAAGATCCCGAATCGTCTCATTCTCAAAAATCCTCATTGCAGTCTTACTCAAATTAGTGACTGTACGACAGCACAAGCATTTTGCTGGCTCACCAGGATAGATCAATATATTTCATAGCCTACGATGATTTTCTTTTCAGATCCCGGACATTTATTTTTGAAAATCAAATATAACACGTATATCTCGTCTGCAGCAAATGTACACATAAATATAATGTGCACATAAAGCGCAATATACCATTTGTATTCATTTTTTCATTTTTATGGCCATCACTCATCTGTTAAATTGCAGGCCGTGACAAAAGGCGTCCTTGGGGACGACAAAAAGTATCTTGTGATACTAATGACATGTTGGCATTAATTCTACCCTGGTGAGCCAGCGATATGCATGTGACCGTGTCAGTGGCTACTTTGAGTGACCAGCGACTGCGATGAGAAATTCTGAGAATGAGACGATGTGTAATCGTATGAAAAAATTTACGTCATTGCAAATGAGTTCGAATTAACTGCGATTTTATTGAAATTAATTTTTCCTATTGCAAAATTCCAGTTGTTATGAAAATAAAATATAGATATAATGCTACTGAAAGTCAATTGTATATTTATAAAATTGAATCGCTTTGATGTCTCATGGAACGGTTCTTGGGTCTTGCACTCACGGGACGAATCCACCGACGATGAGAGGTGAGGATTGTATTCTAATGGAGCGCACATCTTGGGAGTTTAGATCTGCGACTACCACATTTCCCTAGTGCCATTAGGGCTAAAAGTCTAATCAATGGGTAACGGGGAGGTTAATAATTCACATTTCTTTCACTTTGAAAAAACAAACAAACAAAAATGTATTCATAAATGATATCTTGTTTAAAAGGGAAGATTGTATTTTTTAATTTAAATAATTGCTAAGAAGACAAAGAAGAACGTGTAAGGATGCTAAAGAGAGATTCTTTAGGGGGAAGACATTGAAAGGAATGACAATGATGGAGGATCGTTCAGAGAGGCGAATCGATGTAACCTGCCCGATGCCGGAACTCTGAAGAAGAGAAAGGAGAAGAAGGATAAGAATAAGAAGAAAAAGAAGATATTGGGATTACGGTACTAAAAAACAAGACAATTTAATACTACGTGCGTCGTTTTGTTGTTTGGTAAATATAGGTAATTTTTCATCGACCGATTGTAGGAGGCGAAGGAAATTGTGCTAATAAAACAAAAATAATAGCAATTAATAATACGTTCATGTGTTCTTATTTTTTGGTGAATACTGTCAATTTTCCGCCGAGAGGTATTTTTGGAAATGTTTATGTTCTTCTTGATTACGAAATTCTTGTTATCCTCCGTGCACTCTGGTTATAATAACACATTCTTTTTTTCCTGAGACAAGATTTATTTCTCGATTCTTCTGAGTTCGCTCTAATTCAGCTTCCGAGAAGGCACATTGCGTTCAGCTTTCCGAGAAGCCAAGACGGGCAGCGACAGCAGGAAATTTGCTATTGGCTTTGCCGGGCCAATATCTCCTGCTCACGATGCACGACACCCTCCAATTGTGTTTTCGCTGAACTGCATAACGATTCACCGTGAGACAAGTTCTCAAGAAGACCCACGTTTTCTTGAACAGGCGCCCATTAAGCATCGGCGTCTTGGATGGACGCTTCTGGCTCGTTCCGGGACTACGGCTTATCTGCTACCCGCCTTTCGTCTCGGAAGGTTAAAAGAGATGGCGAGGGCAAGGCGCAGATGTCGTCGGGTGTTCTAAGCATAAGAAAAGGAAGTGGAGAAGATAGTGGAGCGAGTAAGATGGGAAGTGGTTTTTACGTTCAGTGCTTAGAACGACTATAATAAAGACATTAAAAATGGTCTTAATGGAAGGATCATGGATATCGTAATCGGTGGAAATGAGGAGAAGAGATAATGGAGAATGTGATCTTTGTAGAAAATGATAGCAATGATAGCAGTGATATAGATAACCAAAACGTTTAGGGATTGGAACGATTGAAAAATATAAGAAATAACGATGTGCAGGAAGAAATCGAGCGGTGTATTGGTGGAAGAGATATTCGGTCTTGATTATCTACATTTAGGTAATTAAAGTGAAGACTGTAGTTAAGTATCCTGAAATGTTAAATATGGGGTAAAATGGTAATGGTAAATATTTTAAAACAATAAAAGTCTGAAATAAAAATCAAATTTTGGAAAGAATATTAAGGCTGAACTGAATACGACTGGAGCACTACTTGCGCAGACTTCACAGCAAAACGGACATTTTGATTTACCAAATATTTGTGATTATGTTCGACTTGGAATGCGAAGAGGAACAGAGGTCTCAATTGAGTCGGCAGGTCACTCGCAACGTTTAACCGATATATGAACAGAGTATTCTAGCTTGTAAGAACATACGCACTATGTATGGTGTTGTGTGTAATGTGGGTGGTGTCGGATTGCTTTCATGTAACTTGAAGATCGGGTTAGATTCATGCACGCGCGATTTGCCACTGTGCACCAAGCAAACACAAACTTCTCTAGCATGCTCTTCCCAACTCACATTGTAATACCACTTTACTTCTCTTTATATCAGAAATGGGAGTGTAGCAAAACAACCCCCGTAATGAGCTAATCCTCAAAACCCTTGCATTAAGATTTGATTAATCCTTATAAAAAACGGTTGTTTATGCAATGCCTCTGATCTGGAGGTCCTAGGGTTCGTGTGCCGATGATATCAGAACTTTCCACACTAGCTTATTAGCTAGGTAGAATTCCGTCGCTGTCTGGAGACTTCTTGCCGCCAGCTGTTCTGATTGGTATTTTCCGTGATATCTCCGATCAATAACCAGGCGAACACCAGTACCTTAAGAAACGGGCCATGGATCGCGCGCGGTCTTTCCATCCTCTTCCTTGTTCATTTCTCACCCCTTTCTTACACACATTTATAAATAAACGTACATATAAATGTACGCAACCAGTACACTTATCCGGAGACCAGTTGGGAGCTT